CCATTGGAGTTACTTGGTAATGAAAGACTGCGATGCGAGGTACGAGGTCGGTCCGAACGACCTCAGTACGAAACATAATACCACCGAGAGACGAAATAATGAGACGCAGGTTCCCAGCATCCCGATACGATATACAATAACGACGGGAAGCTTTCTATGAGATGAGTTTGGTACTTAATGAAATGAGATGGAATGGATCGGAGGGTAGCAGGATGAGTTTTTTTCCCCGACGCATCTGCCGCCCTCCAAGACTCTTCGGCGAAGCTGAACGCAGATTAAGTTGATAAAGGTCGAGACCGCGAAATTAATACGAATATCTTCACCTGACGTTTTTCAATGGTTTTTTTTTTCCCGCGATGTTCTTACCATTCTTGCAGTTTATATAGGCCGTGACCATACTCTCACCTCGTGACGACATGGTAAGTAAAATCTTGAAAGTCTTGATAGGAATACGAGCCGAAACGACAATCAATCTACCTGGATGGGCAACAGCTCGTTCTTTTTCCACATCACTGATGCCAGCGTGCCGTGCCGATCAGGTACGGAGCCAAGTTTCTTTACGCAATTTGGGGAGCGCCACTACGGCAAGCCACGTTGTCTCAAATCGGGAGACTGCGCGTTGCCGTCCCGTTTGATTATTCCTACCTACCGGGCTACATACCGTCTCCAACATGTCGCTCGCTACCGACCGACCTAGGTACCTACCTACATATGCACCTCTAGGAAGTAGGCAGGTATTACTGTATATATGTACGTGTGTGATCAAGCCAACGACACGCCGAAATCGGCGGCGGAATGCTGCATACAGCAGGCCGACACACAGATAAACACCCTTGAATTGAATTCGTCGGCGTCCCTGGAACGGAAAACCAATGCGAGTGATCCAGCTGGCTGATGCGTGCGGACCAGCGCGGCACGGCCATTAGGTATCCGAAGTCCACCAGTAATGCGGTGCCCTTCTGCAGGTTTTTCTTTCGTCTCTTTCCCTGTTTTCAACTGTTGGGAGGCTGGATACGAAGGCAGGTTTTTATTTCGTTCAGCGCACCTGAGGTGCGAGTATCGTTGCTTTACACGTACTCCCGCGTGCGTAGGTCAAGAGTGGGTGTCCGAGCCGTGACCCGATAGATGTCGGGCGTCTGCAGATACAGATATGCAGCTGTAAGATGGCGCTTCGTGGGACCGCTTCATAGGGGCGTGTCTACGAACGGCTTCTCGGCATTCCTCGCAGACGGTCTTCGGAGGATATCTCAAGTTGCCGTCCCTAGCTGGTTCTGGCACGTGATCGGTTCCTTTTGAGAAGCCGACTGAATGGTCTTTGAGAGACGGGCTAGATGTGTCGCGTAGATAGAGGATAGATGGAAGATAAATGGCAGTTAAGATTTGATCATCCCAGTAGCATCTGAGCCTCGACGAAACCCTCGTCCAGCCGATCAATTTGCAACTCTTTCTCCCAATGCTCCCAGAAGCCGTCCTCGACCACGGGACCACCATCCTCACCCTCTGGGACATGTAGGTTCAGCCGGGCAGCAAATTCGGCCGCCCATACCGGCGCGATGTCGTCTCCGTTCAGCACCGGAGACAAATCCAGGTGCGCCATCACGCTTGTTACGCTCTTGTCGCCTAGCCCGCAGGCCACGATGCGCGCCCACGGGTTAACCGCCTCGGAGCCGGAAACCGGCATGCCGAAGTTGATAGCGACGCCTAGGCCCGTGACGTGCCGCCGAAGGTGTACGCCGAGCGCCGCGATCTTGCGCTCCTCTCCCTCCTCCGTATCTTGCTGCTCTGACGTTAAAGAGGTCGAGCGCAAGCGAACCCACACGCCCGGGTTCGAGGTGGTAAACCCCTCGATACCGTATACCCGCTGGAGCGTCGCGATGGTCGTCTTCTCGAGTAGACACGTGTAGTCCCGCACGCTGAAGTGCGCGTGCAGCGGCGACCGCAGGTCGATGACCGGCCAGAGGACCACCTGCCCGGGTCCGTGATACGTCGTGAGCCCACCGCGCGGCGCGTGGAGGACTTCGGGCGTGTAGCCGAAGGACTTGCCGTGAGACGATGCCGATATGTGCAGCGGTGCCCGTAAGCGCGCGAGCTCGGAGGCGGCCAGCGGCTCGGTTTGCCGTCGGCCCAGGGTGTACGTAGGGGCCGGTGTGAAGGAGATTAGGGCTGGACGCGGCGGCGGCTTGTGGTGGGGGGCCCCTGGCGGCAGGGCCTTCCACGCCAGCAGGTCCTGCTGCAGCTTGGACTGGACGCGCGTCGCGAGGGCGTACGTCGGATACCTCGGCGGTAGCGGCGAAGACGGCAACGTGCTGCGGGCCCGTGACCTTGACGAGGGGATTGCGATGTGGCGGAGCGACATTGGATACGGGATTTCTGGGATTCTAGGATCTAGGAGAGGGAGAGAGTGGGATGTGGTTCCCCTCGGCAGTTGGGATTGGGACGTTGGGGACTTCGGCGACGGGTTGGATGGACGGGTGGCTCTACGGTCCGCGGGAATTGCGAAAAAGCAGAAGTCGAATCAGATGGACTACGGAGTGAAGGCCGGACGGGATGGCAGGGAAGAAAGGGTAGCGAGGGTAGGAATGTGTCCAGGTAGTTGCTAATCGTTAACTCATTAGGATTAGTTGACGTTAACAAGGTTTAGGTAACAGCGCCATTTAACCCGTTGCCCGCCTACCCGCTCAAAGCCTCAGGTACGTAACGGCAACTCCCAGCTTCCCAGCTCCAAAAGCTTCCATAAGCTCTAAGCTCCCCCACTTACGGAACACAAGGATCCACTTTGGATCTTCTCATACTGGCCCGTGCTCAAGCTTAGGTCAAGCTTAGACCATGCGGTTGGGGCCTTAACTCCCCAACATTGACGATGGCACGGGGCGATCAGCCAAGGGTTTGGGATGATCCTTGTTCTTGTCATAAACATTTTATGAGCTGTCACATTTTATCGATTGGAGTATTTTCTACCTGTACTTTTCATAGTACACACACAATTTACAATTCCTCGCTATCGCTATCGTTATTCATGTCAGCTTCTTACCTAAACACATACACCTACATATAAAACTCGAATTCCTAGAACTTTCCCCGGTCAGACGGTTATTGGCCGAGAACATACGAGTGTGCCACGATGTAAACATCTCCTATGCCTTCTCTTGGCGATTGATACTCCCCCCTTTTTCGGATACTTTCGTGATACATGTAAGCGCTTGTGCATTGCAACCTGTCCTGCCTTGCTCACCGCATCGTGGATATCGCACATGATCAACGATGGACACCCTCCTCTGGCTCACCTCACATCAGCCGCAGAATACATTGCCATATCCCAATTACCCAGAGCTTGGCCCCCAGGTACTTTCCCACGAGGCCCGGGTACTTCCACGGTACGAACCTGTCAGAACCCGCTCATCTGGCTGTCGTTGCCCAATGCGGCACGCGAGTATTGGACGCCAAGGCTGATTGACAGTTATGATCTACTCGGCATGGAGGGGGGGAGTGCGCCTAATCAGTCGTTCTATCACTTCGTAATGTGCAGCTACCGATTTCCCAATCTCGTGCGGCTCCGTTCTGCCCAGAAAGGGCTGAACCATGGACCAGAGACCAACGGAGCCGAGCCTACGTGTACCTTTTCACAGCCGTCCAACTCAATGATTGCAAACCAACAACCCCAAAGACGATGTGATGGGAAAGAGTATGCGCCTCTGCGACTTAGGAACAGTAAACCGACGGCCCGAGATCACTCTCGTTTACGAATCATGCGAACGGGGCCGTCTCATTCCCGGACCTCGTCCGATTTCTAAATTTACCACGGAGCTCATTCGGCCGGAAGAGTGTCTACATGAAGGTTATATTCCACCAATCATACGCTAGGCCTCAGTCAGCAGTTGGCTAGGCACAGTTTTCAGGTCACCACCGGTTAGACATGTCAAATTACTTCCAGGAAAGGCATCCTTCACGCACACCTGCTCGCGCCAGCTCTCTCCTTCACCGTATTCCTTACAATGTAGCCTTCGGAACCGATAGGGAATTCCAGAAATGACCTCGTTGCCTCGCCGTCTCGACCCTCTAGGCTCGCCGAGCCTCGGGCAGCATCGGCCGGTCTAGGCGCAGCTTTCCTTTTTCCTATATTACCTGCGGTCAGAAAGCAGTCTCCAATTCCACGCGGGCTGCCACGTGCTGATGCGAGAACGCTCGATTACCAATGGGACGGTAGTCCCGTGGCCTGGCGCCGTTCTAGATCCTGCAGCATCGCGAACGGGTTACATTAGTCTTGGATATTGCCGTGGGTGGTTTATACGATGTTGGTATGTTAAGCCGGCCCATGCCTACATGTACATATCTGAGGGCCCCTTGAACATGACAAAATCGTTCTTCTGTCTTAGATACTTGTCTGCATAGGCATTATCTTACTGTGAGTTTAAAATAAAACAACTCAAATAAAAGACTAGGATATAGAGACGATGTCAATATGCAGCTCACTGCCTAACCCCTAGTCCCAGACCACCCCAGCTCAGAACCGTCGTCTAGACCACATTATACCAAGCCGTGAGCAATCCTACCTAGGCAGGTACGAAGGTCGTCACTACAAATTGCATCTTCAGTCTTGACTACCTCCATTGAATCAGTCTCCTCGTTATCAAAGAGCCGAGTAATGGCACCTTGTCATCGAGACTCCAGAGGTCGAGGACAACAGAGGGTTAGAGGGTTACCTCTAATTACAGGTATTAATCATAAAGCATTGCATTGTGAAACCCTGTAAAATATTCAATTGATATGTGAAGCATTCTACCGATATGCCCAATGAATGTTCTACTAGATTCTATAGAAGATTGTCTTCGATCTATATGTCTTGCACGCGGTCGATTCAATGCCACTGCAACTCCTAACACATCGTAATCATGTTCGCGAAATATGAAATTCCAAATTCTATCGCTAGCTCAAGTGAAAGAAAAATAATGAAAGAAATCTTTATGACGTATTTGTATCATAGGAAAATCGACGAAAAAATTTGGCGGTACTGGGAATCGAACCCAGGTCTACACGGTAACAGTAAGAGCTAGCCACAACGTGTTGTACTATCCACTATACTATACCACCCTTAGACAGGCTTGCACTTGACGTGACTACCCCGATGGTTTTGAGCAGGCTTATTATGTCTTATGTAGAATACATCGGCCGCTGTTTAGCCGGCGATAATGTTTGTCCAATCATATCGAAGTTCCACATTCTTAGTCAGACCTTGACTACCATGTCTTTGTTCCCAAGGGCACGATTGCACAAGGGGCTTTCTAATGTTTGCATGGAGCTATACTTGCTAAAGACTACAAGTGTTCTTATAAATAATTCTTTTGTTTCCTGTCTCGTCCCCTGAAACTCGACGTGGAAGCTCTTGGCACTCTGTAATTCAGCATAAGGTCATCGAGTGCATGAGATGTATCCGGCTCTCTTGACGCTACGGTACAGCCACTACCACTAGATATTTTCGACACAAATGAGGTATAAGTTTGGTTCTAGAGCATATGCGAACTGAACTTGAATTTCGGACGAAGAGGGTAAGTTAGTCGTTTCGTAGGACCGCGAGAATATTCCAGATATCCAATCCTTTGTGTCTGGGCTTTCGCTTCCTGAAAGACCTTGAGAGTACGGTGTTCTCGTAGCGAAGCACCGTTCATCCTAGTCAAAGCTATTATGATGTCTAAAGCTCAAATCCAGAAAGCCATGTTAAATATATGTATCCTTATGGCCATTTTAGAATGGGACACGATGCCAACTGTAATAAATCGCGAACCGCATTTCCCTGTAGCATCCTTCCTTCCATACGCCCCTAGCTGCTTATTATCGTAGCATATGGGTCGACATAGACGGGATACGGCATAAATCGGACAATCATGTATGTATGACATATTATCCTCGGCGGATCCGTCCCTCTTGAGAAGGAAATATTATTGAGATTAATGTAGTACACTGGTGTGAGGAATAGGCGTATGCTTATAGTTTTGGCTATAGCAGAAATTGAGTGAGAACGAGACAGGCTTGCTGCTAGCGGTATCTAGTAGTATAGTGCCAGGGGGTTTAGTGCAGCAGAGTGATAGACCAGGGGAAGCAGCCTCGCTGGTAATGTACTGTATTATAAGGTGGCTTGAGTAACCCATGTCCTTCCAAAAGTCTGAATAAGGGGACGAAGCCCCTTACGTAGGCCAACCCTGACGAGCTACATCCTATGCGACACATTAGCGTTTGTAACTCTTATCCCCTAGTATATAGGTTGTAGAATGAATATACCTATGTTCACAGTAACACCTAGCTCCTCCTAATGCCCGAGACCAGCGGGACCTTTATATACGCGCTGGAGGCATTGATTTAGCCTGTCACTTGCCCCCGGAAAGCATAGGAACTTAGACGTTTCTGGTTTGTTGCATCCTAATTTTAACGAAGTCCTTTGAATGTGAATCCGTTAGCGTTCAGCTCCGCCAACCATTGCCTAGTAAAAAACCAAACCGCGTACCTCTGCGGCCATACTAGGTAGGGGCCTAGTAATTGTAATTCTATAAAATCTGAAGCTTGCTATACTTCAGTCGACTGAGGATCAGATGCGGTCCTTCCTCTGGTATACTAGGTATTTAGGGACGAGCCGTACCCATCGGAGCTGTCTGAGTTTAATTCATCGTCGGCATCGTATCCTGAGCGTCGCCTTATAAGGCTTCCTCGTTCCTCGTCGGGCACCTTTGTTCGGCGAGCCCGCGCGTAGAACCAGTCCCTTAGCTGGGCAAAGAGCATGCCGCAAAATACGCCGAAGAGCACCCAGCAGAGAAATGCTATGACGAATATTATTGGTGTAGGTATGTTGTCGGGTTTAGCGATAGGTAGTATCATATTGAATGTTTTCAGACGAGGCATTGAGAGTTGCCAGGCGGTTAATTTTCCAATGAAAGTTGTAAATATTGTATTGTGGTGGTTCTACGAACATAACACGAGTTTCTACAGAACAGGTAGAGCGACGTTTAAAAATTTGCTGAGTCTGGGTCTCCGATAGCCTGCTCGAAGGTTCAGCGCTTTGAATTTGTGGCTTGTAACTCTCGAGTCCTCATCGATTAATCAGTAGTAGGCGGACACTATATATGACGGAGAGATGTTCCTGGGTCTAAGGCACGTCCATAGTCCCCTTAGAACTCTCCCTAGAGACATAAAGAGGTTCAAAAAGACAATAGGCATTATCGAGTCTCGATATAATGCGGCCTTGGAGGAACAAAGAATTTTTGTGTGACCCTTAGTTCTATGGATAATGACATTTATGGAAGGTAAGCGAATGACGCCTTGCCTGAACTTGGATATTTTGGTTCTATTAAAGAAGCGAAAGTTGTTATTCAAGTTGTATATTTGCTATGTTAGTTAGTATGTTATCTAACGTTGGAACGTCAGCATCTATCTTCGCTCCACAAGGGAATCTCCGACTCAGAGCGACTCTACGAAGCACACGTACAAACTCGCTACCATCTTATATTATCATGCTTAAGCCGGCAAATAGGCTGAGCCACTAACCCACCGAATATTCTCCCTCTATCAACGGCAGTTTACTGGACTAATGGACATCAACATCAGCGCCATGAGTTACGCTTGTTAAACCAGAGAGTATACAACTTATATCTATGAAGGCCTAGTAACTCCCACATACACTATATCTAGACTAACAAACGGAGCTATTTAGTAATATACTAACAATGGCATTTGGGGGCTTGAATGGTGTACTATTAGAAACTAACCTTTCAACCCAACTGCTCAATAGTCAGACGAGAATCAAATTTCATACAAAGAAGTGAGTAGTCACTGACGGATCTTCAATAACGAACAGGTGTAAACCTATGGTATAAGAAGTGACAACATGATAGGCTATGAGTCTGCAATGGCAGGCAAGCAACAACTGTATCAGGCCTCACCTATGAACATGGATCGTGTAACGCAATGCAACGACCCGAACAAGATTGCGCAGGTCGAGGCATGCAGCTCTGCGGCACCTGTAAAGCTTGGCCTTGAAGGAGCTAAAGCAGTGGCCTGGCTGGCTATTGAGCCCCGTCTCGCAGCTCTCAGTCATTGTCTCAGACCAATAGGAACCTGATACGCATCTAGGTAGGCCTGTCTCAGTACTAGCAGAACCCCAGTATCAGATCTCGGATATCGCGGGAGTTAGCTGGCTCGAGCGGCGTCCACGTTATCGCCGTCAACAAGCCTCACGGGGGTGACGACGACAGGACATCATGGTGATGGGTGGTGATGCTTACGATGATTGACGATGGAGCGATTTGTCGACAATGAACTATGCAGGTGACGTATGACCTTTGTTAGCGACGAGCTGCTAGTGAAATGGTGCTACTGATACAAGATTGGCCCTTTCATAGGTAATTAATTGGACTGGAAATGGAAATATCGAGAGGTATCTATGTACAAATAAGTAAGGGTCTTGCCGGCGCGGAAGAAAAGTTTAAGAGGTACATTTCAGGCTAATGGGCTGAGCTAATCTCAATCGGGCAACAAGCTCTTCCAATAGCTTCGCCAGTGTCGTCATTCTGCCCCACCAGGCGTCGGCTCGTGCCCACGTTTCTTTGGGTGGCAGGGTTGGTTGATCTAACAACTCGTCCAAAGACGATTTCCAAAAGTCACTTCTTCTTTTTTCTTTCTTCCTAATGTAATCCGTGCTTCGTCCCATTCTCTTTTTTCAACCTTCTTCGATACCATAATTCTACAGCTTGTTCGATTTGGCGATAATACCACCATACCCAATACTTAATACTAATCTCCATCTGCGGCCGATAGGGTTGGTCGGGCAAAGACGCGGGAAACCCGACACATCGAACGTTACCCAGTACTACTTGTACCCGATCGCCTTTGATCCTCATCCCTCACCGTCTTCCGCATTCGTATCCAAGACATCATCATTTAAGAGAAACGGCCCTAGCCTTGGTGTCTAACCAACAACAAACCAACAGCTCTTCAATAGGTACGTTGATAGGTCGCATACTTTTATTATATTGAACTACCAGTTGCCCTTGTCAGCAGCCAGAAACTCAATCCTGTCAACCTTTTGCTGCAATCCGAAAGTCTAACCTGTCACATAGTTGCGGGCGTCCAACTTAAATAAATCAAGTCGGTCATCCACTACAAGTACCAGAAGAAGCCACACCTTTACAATCACCACCGGTCTGACCGGCTAGCAATATCCAAGATGGCGCGGGCAAGTAAGTATCAATAACTACTCTACCACCACCTCATAGCTCTAAGCCATGGCTAACAACTTGCAGACACATACCTAGCGCCCCTATCCCTCATCTTCCTCGCCGGCTCGCTGGTGATGCTCTTCTTCGTCATCCTATCTGCCGTGACGACCACTTCCCCCCTCGGACAGACCTACTTTCTATCCGCCGATACCTCCGGCATCACAGGCGCGCGGCCCATCACGCAGTGGGCGTACTTCTACATCTGTGGCGCGGACAATGTGGACTGTAGTGGTGCGTGGCCCGCACCGCCTCTGGGCTGGGCTTGGTCAGCCAATCCAACGGGCGCGCCGGCGGAGCTGATCGGATCCCACGGCGGCGATACGACGAGTTTCTACTACTACTACATGTGGCGCTTCGGCTGGGTCTTCTACCTAATCGCCCTCGTGTTCTCCGTGCTGGCCTTCTTCGCCGGCTTCGTGGCATGCTGCGGGCGTCTAGGCTCCGCGATCGCCGGGCTGGCTGCACTCGTGGCCCTATTCTTCCACACCATTGCCGTGTCCCTGATGACAGCTGTATTCGTGCGCATGCGCAATGCGTTCATGGCCAACGGCCATGACGCGAGTCTCGGTCGATACGCCTTCGGCTTCAGCTGGGGCAGTTGGACCGCGCTGCTCATCGCTACGATACTGTTCTGCGTGGGCATTCGCGGCGGGGACGGAGATACGAACTACGCAGGACGCCGCCGATGGGGACGCCAGAGGAGTGTAAGGAGTCGACGCAGCTATGATCTGAATGGTCGAAGGGTCAAGGAGGAGTATGCATAAACTCGGAATTCAGAGGAAAGGAGTAACGGCGTGAGTAAGAATCACGTGGCATAATGAATTGAGG